ATCAGTTACGGAAACAAAGTCAGACATGAGCTGTACTCCCTGAGCTAACAGCCTCAGTTTTAAAGCAAGATTTTCCGCGTACGCATTAGGTTAAAAGTTTTGAAGTAATTAGGACTAGATTTTATTATGACAGGATATAGATGGGATTTGTTAATTATGTAGCCCAAATACATAGTTAAAATGGTTTTCCGGGGTAGTTACATAGGTTCCTGTACATCGACCGGAGATGAGATTAGATATCGGACCGGACAGCCTTTGCCAACCTCTTACACATATGGTGCCGATATGACGTAAGTTTATCTGTTAGTAATGCTGAGTACGCTGGATGGTTTTAGGATGAAGTAACTTTCCACCGTGACGGATGAAGTTCTCACATGTGACGTTGGTTAGGATATGTGCTCAGCATGCCAGAAGACCGCCTTCCTCGCAAAGCTTTTCACCCAGCCCTGTGCCGAGTGGAAGCGACCAAGAGGGGGACAGTGTATGACCCGGCAACGAAGTATGGAAACATTAGACGGGTCGGGTCGACAAATGGATAGGGGCCCCGTGGCTCAACTGAATGATTAGTGATACTTGCAGAGGTGGCCAAATCGAGCAGTCCATGGCACTCGTGCATCAAAGCTATCGTCTTCAATGCGTGGCTACCCGATTTCTGAACGAAGTGAACATGCCATCAACTCAAAGGTTTAGCCCTATCTCCCGCACCCCCCCCCACTTTCCGGTGCCCGAACCTGTAGCACCTGAGACTAATGCACCTATGGTATGCAGTTTTCGGCTGATAAAGTTAAGTGGTTTTTTAAATTGATCGTGCACAATGAAGTCGATGGCCTGATCTGTTACTGTCTTTGATTCACTTCACCCGTACTTTGGACCTGCACTCCATAACAGATGATAAAGTCACGATTAATCGGTAATAACCAACTACCACTTACATAAACAACAGAGAAATTGTGTGAAATTTTTGCTCATTCCATAATCTTTTCTTGTGCAGAAAAACTATGGATCTCCCAGATCGTGACTTTTCCTCTTATGGTGTTCAATATTGGCTTCCTCAACATCATCCATCTCAAGCCTGTGGTTTTTTGCTACGGTACTTATCCACGGGTCACTATTTCAAACAGTATCTCGTGGATAGGCAGTGCACAGTACCGACATCACATGATCACGCTACGAACGTGTTGGTTAGTTTTCATCCAATTAGGAATACCACAGACCATATCAGTACAGACTTGACATTCCCGCTGACCTTGACTACAACACGGAACGCTTTGTCTCGTGTTTGGTGACCTGAACCAGTTTTCCTTGACATATAGCCAGTGTCATTTCTCAGTTGGCTTCCTGTTCTTTTACGCCACGCTCATTAAACTATGTTGAATACTGCTCTATTAACCTTTACAACTGTATGACTTGGAAAGACTTTGCCGAAAAAATGGGTTTGTTCAGCCCATGTTTGTGTGTGTACTTTGATTAGGATCTGCCTCGGTTTTTGTTCCGTTTGCTTGGGATTTCGGCTTGATAGCTGGAGGAAGTCCAGGTCAGAGAGACGGGATGCTGGCGCCATCACTACGGTTGACGCAGTTCGGTTGTGTGTTGATCTTCATTGCTTCGGTGCACGCCCGTTTCACGTGTCCCTCGAATCCTGACTGGAGTATACGTTTACAAGATGGTGCCTGGACTGCATCGGATGAGTTACGTTGAGGTTTGTTTAACTCATTTGCGTTGCATGAAAGAAAACGTACATGGCGTTTGTGCAACGTAGTTGGCTAAACATTTTCACAGGAAGCAATCTGTGCGATGTTTCACTTCGATTAGGTCTTCAGCCCCTACGAGGTGTCCTTGTAAGGTGTCATCAAACGGTGTCTGATGTGCAAATTCTACAGGGTATTCCCACGTTAACCATCAGATTTTCGGTTCCCTGTCTCACCGTTCAGATTAGCATTCTCCCGATTTGTTGGTTTGTTTTGCTGCAGTACCATACGAAGTCGTCTAAGTTAATCTGCCCGTATGGACTCATCCGAGCACAGTTTATTGACAAGATTCACAAAAGATCCGACCACTGTGCGTCTGGTGTGATATGGGGTGCGAAGACTGACAATACAAGTTCCTGTATGGATGTGTAGGCTTTTCGTGGATACTCAGTTGACAGTGATAGATAACGTACAGTCCAGAAATCGTTCAGCTGTAGCACCCATCCGGTGCCTTACTGCCATGCCATTCGAAGGTTGCACGTGGGCTGGGATACTGCCAGGTTGCCCGAGCCTAGACGGGGGAGGCGAGAGACAGAGCTCGGGTTCGAAACACAGACCTTGTGGTCAGTAAATTCGCGCTCTGACCACATGGGCCACCTTGCGTACAGTCCAGGAAGCCCATGATCCTCTTTTCGCTTGCATTTTCCATCGTGGTTTTTATACTACTGCATTTCTCGTTCAAGGAAGGTTTGCCGTTGTCTTAGCCAGGTTCGTGGTGGATGGGTAAAGTCAAATAGGGCAGTGATTTCAACATGATGCAAGAAAAGGTTAGCCACCATGGGTGATACTGGACTGCCTATGGTGACATCGCCAGGTCGTCCACAGTGTACGTTTTAAAAGGTGAAATGCATGGTGCTTAGAAACAGTTCACCACCTTTAATATTATCAACAAGGGACAAGGCTGTATCGCCACAAAAAGTAGAGGACAGAAAAGATGGAGAGTTGTTAATTGGGACACTGGTTTTTAAGTCAGAGGTGATTGCTATTTCATCATCATTGATGTGGATGGATTGGGGACTACTATCAAAATCGAAAGAGTCAATTGCTTACAACTTGTCCAAATACTTAAGATGGTTTGTTGAGGCCATATTATCAGCTGGTACTAAGTCACGTGAATGACTTCAAATGAATGAAAGGGTAAACCTGATCTGACAAGAAGTTAACTGGTTGTATTTGGATTTTTTTGGGAAAACGGCGCAGTAGTTGAATGACCCCCTCCCAACAAGAAACCGGTTTAACTGTAGCACGTTTTTCTTGTATCGGTCACTCACTAGATCACGTGTCACGACTCTCAAATCACGTAACAATTCCTGTCCCACTTGCAAACTTAGCGGACAACATGTACCCTAACTACGAGTTCCATCCATTTTTGTTTACGTGGCTACCACCTGCATCACGCGCCAGGCTTACGAACTTCAATCACATCAGGTCAAGTTGTACTCAGGTTCGTGCAAGCATCAAACACGAAGGGGCACCCCTCTCTTGACTCTGCACACAATAAAGAGGCAAACACCCGGCCCAAAATAACACACAGACGCGCACGCACAGGACACGAATTAAACTGGGCTTCACAAATCTCCCTGGCTAACTACGGAACACGTGTAGCAGCAATACTAACATGCGGATGTCCGAGATCCTCAACCTCAAGTGGCCAAATCTCGCAGTCGTACAACCATACGGCCCACACGGTAGTCTGAGACAAGCCATAAACGATGTACGTTGACAAAAGCAATTCTGCCCTTTGAGGTTACCTTTGGTAATCATCATCATTCTGGTAAAATTGACATTTGTGAGTGCTTGTCACCTTCTGATAATCAACTTAATTGTATAGCTTTTCAGTATCGCTCCTTGAATTGTCTGAGGCGTGTTCAAAAACTGCACTTCTCGCGTCATGACTGTGTAGTCTGTGGTCTAAAAAACGCTGACAACAAAACAACCAGCCAACAGGATCAACACATTGTTGAAATCACAGAACACCAAGCTTGTAGAGCCACATTACGTTGCTTTAACGCTTGACGCAGATGCAATCCACAAAGCTTTTTCATGGCCCGAATACGGCTTGCTGTTCCCTGTGAGACTTGGCCTGTTCGAGCAGCGGACCTGAGACGTCTTCAGGTGGTCGACAATTCTTGTCTCAGAACCATAGCTCGTGTGGGTTGGTGTCGGCGAATCCCTAACGAGGCAGTTAGAAAGCGCGTTTTCGGTTGTACAACGGGTACTTCCATTGAAGAATGTGTCCAGCACCAGAAGCTACGTTGCTTGGGACATGTGTTGCGTATGCCGAACCATCGTTTGCCGAAGAGNAACTGGGTAGATACGCATTGAAGGCGATAGCTTTTATGCACGTGTGCCAGTGATTGCGCGATTGGGCCACTTTTGCCAACGTCAATAACCACTGGTGATTTGAGCCTCTGGTTTCTCATCCAAGGAGGTGACAGTTGCCCACCCGACTAAATTAACTGTTTAGTGTTTTCATAGTTCGTTGCCAGGTTCACCTCTCGGTCACTTCTACTCAGCACAGGGCTGAGAGAAAAGAGTTCTGTGAGGCAGACGGTCATTTGGCATGCGGGGTACATGTCCAAACCTGGGAAACCACTATATATATATATGTTTAAGTGTGAATCTAGCTGCTTTGGAATTTCAAAAGTGTTTATTTCGAGTAAAGCATCTAACAGGTGTCATAGACGTAAAACGCTGGTCAAAATTACGTGTTTACAGCGCGAATTTACTGACCGGGTGGTCCGTGGTTCAAACCCGACCTCTTCCTCTCGACTTACCCTGTCTAGGCTCGGGCAACCTGCCAGTATCCCAGCCCTCGTGCTTCCTTCGGATGGCATGGTAGTTAGGCACCCAGGATATATAAATAAGATTCTTAATACGTAGCAAGTGAAACTACAGAACAAGTTTGGGCGGAAAACACGAGCTTGAGAACCCAACGGCGTGACAGAATTTGGAAAAGAGTCTGGTCTCATGGTTCATCAATAAAATAATGGATAAATACTCGTCCAACAGGAACACCTTTCCGATGCTCAGTGGTGAAGTCATCCGAACGGAACTCGAGGACCGAGATACTATCAGGTGACCAATCAAGACCCCAAATTCGAGTTCGGGTTCGATCCACGGATTTTCCGGTCGCTCAAAATTTCGCGAAACTATCTGGACCTGACCAAACACATATCTACATATCTACATATCTATGAACACACGCAAAATGGAGTTCTCGAAACGGCCCGCCCATGTGCCAGTTTCAGGATGATTGGGGCCACGTGAGTCTGGCAACTGAAACCATATCCAAAACGTCGAGGCCCTTGTTTTCAAATATATTTTGTCGAACGAAAAATGCTGTGTTTATCTCAGCCCTGTTGGACACCACTCCTTCAGGTCACGGAAGATTAGTTTTCGAAGCACGAACATCCGTTATCTCAGCCCATGGCCCTTGGGGTCATGTCAAACAAGAAAACATTCGTTATTGTTCGTTGCGCTCGTCAGATACTACTGATGTCGCTAACAATGTTGACGACCATATTGAAAAGTATTAAAGACTAGACAGGATATTTTTGGTTACGCCAAGTTATAAGTATTCCTCATTATAGTAGTCTGTAGTACAAAGTAATAAAGTGGTATGAATGACATATAATGTTAATTTTTGGTGCAGGACTGCAGTTAATCCAACCGAATCCCACAATCGAACAGCCATGATTTTCACGCAGTCTCCACCTGATCCCAAGTTCATGCGATTTCATGGAGTTATCAGTAATCTCTTGCGGTAACATTGGCAACCTTGTATATATTCGCTTTTATTCTTATACCAGCCTATTCATAAGTGAAACTAGTGGCATTTATCTGAATGTATACATATATATGTATATACATATATAACAGGCTAATTGTAATTTCACGCTGGTGAACCAACTCACCTTTGAAGCATTGTTATGGGCGTCCCTATAATGAACGAAATAAATCGTGTATTTAATGCAGTTGATGCGTTCGACAGGATAAGAAAAAACAACATTTCAGTGAACTGGTGTGAATTCGTTTGGTTTGTGTACCTTCAGTCTGGAGCCTACATGTAATTCGAGTTCACGGCCACGCAGGTCATACAAGTGGTAGGATCGTTATCTGCGTACTATCAGCGATAAAACACCTAATGCAATATCTGACAGTTGTTGACATACAAATTGGGTAAGGGTGTAAAATTCAAAAGCATTTATACTGTCGAATCGACTTATAATTTCCGTATCCTGTTTTCCAGTGTATCAACCCATATACGTACCAAATGAGAAAAATCCAGAACAATACCAGCGAGGTGAAAAAAGTTAGAGGTCGGCAGTTTTGTCAGCAAATTCAAATGTAGTGGTGAACCAGACTGTAAAGCCAGATATTAAAAAACGAACAATGTAAACGAAAGCGTTGATTCGTCATTTGACTTATGCACAAGGTATCAGACCGCCAGCGGTTGAAGCACGCTTGTTCAAAAATAGAAGACCTAGTCTTGGGAATAATAACAGCCTACTTTGAAATTCAGCAGTAGTGAATAAAAAACAAGAAACAAACTGAAGCAGCCTTTCCGAGAAATACACTCATTTGCAAATCAATTTGGTTTTCACGACAGACTCAAATGAATCTCTCGTTTATGATATTCTAGATATGAATATGCTGCACACAGGCCACCTCACAATTCAGTTGGCACGATATTCGAGATATCGCAGTATATTTTCAGTATATTTTCGAAATGTTTTCAGCAACCTTGTGAGTAGTTTCCTTTATGAAGCAACCTTTCTCTGGAAGAGTATTTTAACGCCAAACTACAAGTTTAACGTGGTTGTTGGACATGCAGGAGTAAAAATACCGTGGTTATGCAGTTGGCACACAAATTGCATAAATCTGTACTTGTTTTATCATGATTATTTAGACTTGCCATAACAAAACTTATAGCAGAATTTTCGTTTTTTTTCCCAGCAAACTCCGGAAGCAAATTTCCACTGTGTTTTGTGGCCGACCTCCTTGGGGTGAGACAGGGAACCCTTCCCACTGGGTGTCTGAGTTGGATGTTTATCCAATGTGTCCTAGGTCTTCGTCTCTTGCTTGTAAACCAAGCAGTCCAGCTGAAGTGCCGGAGACCTCAAATGTACAGCAATGTCCCAGCAATGTCTTAGTTCCTAGTAAAACAATTTGCCCTGCTTTTCCACCTGAGAGTAGCGGCTGTTGAAATGCATCAAAGTTTGTGACTGGCTCACTAGGTGTGCTAGTACACAAAGACCTAGGTGTCAGTTACAGTATTCACATGTTAACAATTTTCGTGAAGCTGGAGTAAGAGTTTTATTGAAAGGTTGGTCAACATACCCACGACGATATTCTTTCAAGAATTCACCGGTTGAAAGGCCCCATTCGACTGCATACTGTGGAACAGTTTCGCGTCCAGGAGAAACCCAATTTTCGGGAAATCTGAAGAGAAATTTCAGATCGATAAATTGCAAATTTGTGATTGGTTGTCATTTCCCCTAAATCATCATCGTCATCGTCATCGACAGCATGACATCAGTGTTCAACACCGATGCTTCACTACCGTACAACCACGATTTGTTTGAAAGCCTTACCGTAAAGAAAAGAATAAAGTTGAACGGAGAAGGAACTTCATGCTACCTTACCACAATCATTCCAAGGTGCCCATACCTCCAAACAATCACTCAGGCGATCTGGATAGAAACTGACAACAGGAACGCCACTGACATTGGTTGGCAGCCAAATGTGCAATGTCTCCAACCAGGCACAGTGAGGATCACGTGGTCCCCAGCCTGGAAGGCGAGTAGCACCGACAGCACCCAAGTGTTTCGTGATCTCCTTCATACTCCTCTGCCAAGTCAAGGGTTGGCCACCTCTCTGTTTACGCCACTCTGAATTAGGCATGGAAAACAGCACTCTCTTCGGAAAACGATGGTTCGGCATACGCAACACATGTCCCAACCAACGTAGCTTCTGGTGCTGGACACATTCTTCAATGGAAGTACCCGTTGTACAACCGAAAACGCGCTTTCTAACTGCCTCGTTAGGGATTCGCCGACACCAACCCACACGAGCTATGGTTCTGAGACAACGATTGTCGACCACCTGAAGACGTCTCGGTTCCGCTGATTGAATAGGTTAAGTCTCACAGCCATACAACAAAACAGCCCGTACTGTTGCTTGATACATACGTCCCTTCAGATTCAGCGATAAACTATTCTCAAATTAGCAAACGCGGCCCGAACCTTGCAGACTCATGCATTCACCTCATCTGTCACACTACAATCAGAACTGATACAACTTCCAGGATAAGTGAAACGCTCCACAACTTCCAGTCCCTCGCCCTGAATTTTAGGTGGCGTATTCAGTGACTGCACGTCCACGAGCATGACCTTACGCCTTGTAGTTGCAAAGTGCATACCAAAGGACGGGATGACTTTGGTTAATTCATCCGAAAACACCTGCGTGTTCTCCTCCTCTTTGAACATGAGAACGATATCGTCTGCACATCGGATAAATTATATAAAGATTCATAGCCAATGACAATCCTATTAAAACCAGTTTGCCAGACTATTATAACAGGTAATATATCTCTTTCAGCAATTTTATTCCCAATTATCAAGAAACCATGGACCAAACGGTGAGGGTGTGTGTATGAATTCACCCTCAGAAATTGACTTTGAGCAGTACACCTAACTGTATACTATTGAGGCGGACGAAAAATAATGACACATTAATGAATACTCATACCCATCTAGTTGCCATGAGAACATCATTTCTTGTTCAGAAAATGTGAAACAAATAACCAAAGATATTTACAATAAACGTCAATCTGGAGCCTTTTGAAGCCTGACTTCATTCATAGTGTCAGCTGACCTTGTCCTTAGGCAGTGTATCTCTTGTGTTTAAGTTCCCAGGTTTTCCGCTTCGTTTGGCACTTTGTTTTCGCATTTCGAGTGATGCTGCCGTTGATTCCTAGAGTATGCTGATTTCCAACATATTTGCATACTTCAAGTTACAGTGGCGATCTTTCAGTGATTAGGCGTGATTGACTACGGCCACCCAGATTCCTACAACTGACTCCAACGTGAAGTCGCCAAAAAAATAATCTAATACGTTGAAACTAGGGAGTTCTTCAGTAACAGTTTATGGGAAAGTGGAACGGCGGGAAGAATATGGTTTCATCCATTCAAATAATGCGTTGAGAAAGTGACTAGGAGCAGGGATGACGGTGCTTTGTTTCTGCATACGCATGACAATTTTGATCCACCCGTTCTGGCGAAAAATTGCGGCAAATACAATTAATTTCTGGTATCGAGTTCTAAATCGCTGTCACTGCTTTTTTTGCCCTGGGATAATGACTGTTGTTCTACGTTTCAAAGCTTTGAGCACCACAGTGCTCGCATGCTTCCCTCATATAAGGTTAAACTTTCGCATGTAGCAAAAATCAGCCCTGCATTTTGGATAACCCACAGTTTGTTCCTTTGGGAATTTTTTGTTTCGCTAATTGAGTGGGCATCTATGCCACACAAAAAATAGCAATTCATGTAACCTGAACTGCAATCTGCGGAAGCGCATTTACTAACAGTCGCATGTGATTGGTCAGTGACGATGCGTGAAACTCAGTTCATCTGTCAGGCAGTCATGTGAAGTCATGTGACTTTTAAAATGGATATCGAGTAAATTGGTGCATCTGAGCTGAGGCTTAATCGTGCGTATATCGTCATTTCACTGGTTATTCAGGCACATGTGATTTACAACTTTTTAGCGATGGTGGATCGGCACGTACTCCAAATTTCGTTTTAGATTTCCAGTGAGTATCCACCGGTCACCCATACGAGCTTTTCGATAATTCTGTGCCTCTTTAATCTGAAAAAAAGAGTTAAAATATAAATATTCACCCAAAACTGCACGACAGCTGTAACTAGTATAAAACCACATTTACATAGAGTCATTCACACTCTGATAGACAAGAAGGTAAGGTAGTGTTTGACCACACACAGACGTTAACTTTTAGGTTGATAATTAGGTCTTGTGACAACCCCACAGTGATCGAAATTTAATTATATAATGGTTTTGTTTCCGGAGGTTCATAAGCAACTGGTATTCGTCTCCGTTTAGAAGATATCTGTGATTATAATAAGGAATTATTTTGGACCATATTCACAAACCCAGGCTATGGGTATAGAATCTAAAAAGACTGAATTGAGAAGGGTATATCAAAGGTATGGTAACCATTATCCAAGTCATCTTGTAGCGGCAATTACGGAGCAGTAAGTTTACTTGGAAATCCGTTGCCGAAAGTGGAGCTACTGTCCATGAAACCTAGTTCAATCTTCTAAAATTGGGCAAACAAAAATATATACACACCATTTTGGACTATAGTTTCTGCCTTTTATCGCCAATCTTACTGAGGATTTCTCTTGTTGTGCACCTGTGGCCGATGTGTAAAGATCCGTATTTCACGTGCTCTGCAAACCCTCGCTTGGTTATCAAAATCCAGGCTTGTTGAAACTCTGCCTCTCGACAGCCTGTCAGTATCGCAGCCCTTGTATTTCCTTCTGGTGGCATGGCATCTACGCACCGAAAGGGTGCGATTGTCTAACAAATCACAAAGATTTGTTTGTCCTTGAAATTTTCAGTGGTTTAACTATGTCGCAGTGTTTGCGAACACAAAACCGAGCAGAGTACACCGTTAACTGGGCGACTGCAGAATAAATAAGGTTGTACTGGACTCATCACTGTTATAATCCTGAACGTTTCAAGACGAATTTTCATTGAAGGGACATCCCAGTACAATTAGCTTATCATAAAATAAGTGAAAACTCACCGCAGACCTTTTATAACTAACATCTGCCAAAATTTTCAGTTGTGTAGGGGTAACTTTCATATCCCATGGGTCGGCTTCCATTGTGCTGGGGTAAAGAAACAGTTCTCCCCTGTATGGACGGACAAAAGAATTTTCTTATTAGCCTCTTGACTCATTTATTACTGCCAGTTATGCAAGATTTTTACTAATGACTAGTCCAAATTTCGTCCTGAACTAAATTTAAGTGAACATTCTACGATTTTCTCACACTACCAATAGCCCATGAGTGGATCAGAGGAGGGATAAAATTCACCCAATGAGTGAAACTTCCGCCTAAGAAGTTGTCACTTGTGAAGCCAGAAAACGAGTGTGACCACGTGATGCGGATCCCGTGATTGGCGAATGAGTGGTGCTACATTCTGTCTAAGTGTGATTTAATCACGCTGCTGAGCGGCCATTCGTGGTCGAACGGACACGTGTTTAGTTTACCACCGGTGAAGGTTAGCGGTCAAAGCCTCCTTACTGGACGTTCGTGAAAAGCGTGACTCTGATGATTCTGAACAAAAATGAATCAGCTGCACAGTACTTCTCGGCCTCTCAGCACAGACCAGCCTAAATTACAGGAGGAAATCTCTATCAAGCATTTATTCATTGTAAGAAAATGTCACTGATGTTTTCTTGGCCATGGATTGGAGGATAGTGGTTGTCTTTACGTGCTCAGTAACGATGCTCACGTGCCAGCTGGGAAAACAGATTCTTGACGGTTTTTCTGTGTGCACAGAAAGTCAAACATCGAATGAACTGCAATTGTGCTATCCGTTTTAAATTGACAGGACAGTTCAACTTGCCGATCAGCAGCAGCGGCAGAAGACTAGGTATGCGAATGGGAAAAACACAACGCGGCCATAAAAAAAACACGCAACCCTTGATCTCCAAAGTTGAAGACTAGAGTCATAAGTCTAGTCTGAAAAGAGCAAAAATCTTGCCAAGCAAGGACATGCGATGCTTGATGAAATTTCGACAAACGTGGTAATTCATGGTAGATCCACGGCGTAAACACATCCAGGTTATGCATCACTACGTGCCGAAGACCAACTCGTCAACAGGAATACTCGAAGAGAACATATTGTCGAGTTTACAAACGAAGATGTAGGAAACAACTTGGAATCACTTGAGAAAGGGTCACAGAGTAGGACCCAGAATGGTCGGGATTACGAGACATGAACACATCGGACAGATGATCTGTGATGTCTTCAATTTTTCCACCAGGGATGTCTCATAATCCTTGCTGGCACCGAACGATGCTGAGGAAATCGTAAATATGCAATTAGAAAACCGGTCGACTATGTTCGGTGTACGCGCACTATTCCCCAATTCAGAATGATGCGAAAGATTTTGTGATCTTCCAGAATGAAGTTCAGTGCTCGCAATGGGCTGCAGGATCTCCGAAAATGTTGTTTGAATCAGTGGCATCCGCGTTATCAGCTGCATTCCAGAGTACCTGATTGAGCATTTGGGGGTGTAGGCACATCAGAATACCTGGAATGGGCTAGCAAAATGTCACTTTTTAGCCACTCTCCTTTTCTGCTTCCTTGTAAGGACAATGGTGATGAAGCATCAACTGTTTCGCGATAAGAATGTTGACATTCGGTTGTCTTAGGGATTTTGTTTGCGAGCAGCGTTACGAAATATCGCGCAGCTAACATCTGTAAATTTCCAAACAACTGCACCTGTCAATGGAGTTGTTTCATAATTGAAAAAAACACTGAAGTTTTATTCCACTGTAAGTTCAATAGATTTTCTATTGAATAAAGGTTTAATGGTGTGAAATGACATCGGACGTGATACAATTTACTGAGAGGCTCTGCCATCACCACAGACCCTTGAATGTATACAAATCAGCAAGGACAGATCGGATATGGTCATTAGATCCTACCTGGCCTCCTAACAGGGGACACACCCCGACAATTAACTGTTCAGCCGGTTGTCTAATTACAAGGCATTTTGCGCTTGGACTTCCGACTACAAATCCATCGTTAGTCCATCAGCTACAAAAGGAGAATGTTCCTAACTGTAGTGCGTGCCAGCGGCAATGAAAGACAGTATCTTGGTCTAAAAATTAGATGTCTGTATAAAAGAGTTTCAAGCGACTATCCAGGCAAACATACCTCCTTGTCGTGTATGTGACTGGCAGTGGTCTGCATCTGACTCCAGTGCAGTCTATTCTCGGCTCTGGTTTTACCTAGTATCGGTAGAAATAGAGCGGAATCAGTACAAGTTTACTTTGAACCATAAGGATGTATGGAACGGCGGTAAGCCTAGACGACAGAGAGTAGGCTTGTGTAGACTAACACACGACTCATGAAGTTGCTAAAAACTCCGACCATCCCAAACGGGAGGTTGAACTGGATTCGCTCATCTCCTACCAAAACGAAACGAACACGGAGTATTTGTCGTACTCTGTCCTTTTTATTCCCAAGTAGGACATGGTCTGCGGTTATCCGCGGGGTAAAATCGGTGGTGGGCTGTCAGAGAGTTTTCAGCAACCTCATCAGTAGTGTGTTGGGTCTGCACAATGAAGTGCGATGTCAGGAATATCGTGGTAACAGAAGCATGAGACGGCCGAATATGAGTAGTTGTCGAAGATACTAGGCTTCTTGATAGTGCAAGTGGTGAACTGAAGTCTTTTCATTAGCACTATATGAAAGTTCACAAGCAACCCTATCCACCGAGACAAGACTACTATTATTTGGCTAAACTAGCTTGATGGACGGAATGAGTCCCATCCCCGTCGCCAACCTGTTAGATCAGCTGATTCATCAATCTGTGGTATTTGCTGCTGACTCGCTCCAGTGCCTAGTTGCCGGAAAAATAACTCACAGGAGGGAACATAACAGCTATATTCCGAACAAGCGATTGCGAGAGCAAAAGTTACAACGGCCTCACGCTATTTAAATTGGAATTTCCGACATTGGTCCAGGCTGTCTAATAGGTGTTAGTGAACACCCGTCAACATCGATTGTGCCTCTATGATATGCCAGAACACAGATCATATTCGGTCGTGCTTCTGTGTCGTGCATGAACATTAATCAGGTTTTGCTGAATTGATTGAATGATTGACTGGCTTGGATGCTTGCCAGCTTTCCTGTTAAGGTTTTGGTGGGGCAGTAGGTTTCGGGCGTTCTGATGTTACATTCAGGAATCTGACCTTCCTGATAAATTATCATTAGCAGCTTCTGATTTCTGTATATGCACCATATTCCCGGAAACATTCCACTGGTCATCGAGTACTTTCTCAAATGATTTTCACCTCACATAACAAGCTGGTAAACTGAAAACTGCGGATTCAGGAGGCTTTTCTATTATTTTTTACCCACTTTACTTCCACCGTCTTAATTTTGCATCTATAGTTAGAAGGATATTGCAAAGCTAGGATCCGTCCAGCCCTCAGTTCGGCAACAGTGCCTCTAAAATATGGTTTAGTTTTTCTTCCTTTATAAGAAAAATGGCCACCAAATAATCGTCGTAGAAACGATTCACCTTACCAGTGGCAGGTTAATATTATCTGGTCTTATCCGAATTCCGTGTAGTCCTTCATTCCGACTCAAACTCGTCAAGGCAAGTGGTAACCAGGGTAATCTTGAGGTGGATGTTCGTGCATGTGGACTGGTCATTCTGATACTCTGAATTCCAAATTCTCCGCTACTTTTGTTCGGGCATACGGTTTTAGCAGCAATCTACTTCACACTACTCGGCAGCTTTTGAATGAGATCGATACAGTTATCGATCCTGTCAAATGCAATGCAGACGAGGAGGTTGAGGTAGATCAACGAATCAGCTGAATGTTGAGGTTGGGTGTTTAACTTCTGGCAATAAGACCATCACAAACAGTGAATAACTTCAAATGTCCTGAGGGAAGCTTGAGCACTGCTCACGGGCTGGTCTAACTCGGATGGGGAAATCGAGTGTAAAGGCGGACACTACTGATGAGGCATGTGAGTAGTATATGGCTTTCTCGTAATTCCTCCTCGATTCTAATGGAACGGGGGTTTATTACGGAACCTGTAAAGTCTCTTTACAGATTTCGTTTACAATTGCATGATACTCAACGAATATTTTAGAAAGTTACAGAAGACGCGCGAGGATGTTTAGTTTTTAAAAATAAGGTGCACATGAGATATTTACTACCCTGTCCAGTAGTTTGTAACCGTTTAGTTGGTGTTTGTCGAAAAAAGCTACGCGCTAGAGGGCCTCCCTCCTAGTAGTATGCCTCTTTATTGTTTGCAATGCAAGGAGGGCGCTGGTGATTCCTGTGACGAAAAGCAATGGGAGACATCCAGTTTTCAGCCGAGATTCAGGAGCACGTCAGTTCTGAAACCTAAGCAGTTACTTGCGTGACATCCAAAATCAGTTTACTGTGTAGCCACCAAATCAACATGTGGTTTTTGGCGCAGTGGCTGGCGGAAATTCGAACAACAGTTGCAATAATGGGACAATCTCCTCCGACACATGATAAGTGTCTAATTTCTTCGAAGGAATGGGTTGTGGATACTGTTGACGCTCACCAAAATGCTATCCTATGATTCGCACACATTGCATATCTAATTGTCATTTATTTTTGAAGGGCATGGTGGCAAACATAAAAAGTGAATGCAAGCGACGAATGCAAAAGCGCAACAGGAGAATATGAGATAAAAGAGAGAAACTTCCCATTCGAATTCATGCCACCAGCAGTTCCTATCAGATGAGATGAATCTCAACGTATGTAAAAAGTTTGGTATGGAAACACGCGTCTAAAGACCAACAACCGAAGAAAGGACAAACAATGGTGAATGCTCTTCAAGGCGCAGTATGCACTAGCACAGTCAAGACTCGCACATCAGGCACAAAGTGTCCGTTATACTGGGTCTGGTGTGAGATCAAATGGCAAAAATGTACATTCAACGCCATGTGCCACGCATAAAAGTGTCAGAATTACGCAGAGAGCCCACAATGCCAAGCAAACACAAGTCACTGACTGCGACCTTAGGAAGTCCCAGTCCAATAACAGCCTTACGGATTGAGGAAAGCAGATCCCTCGATAGGAGATGATCAGCGGTTGTTGAACCAAAAAGTCGATATCACAACCGA